AGCGGCGTTTGTTGGCTGAATTGGGGGAGGAGCAGCAAGGACCTACCCCACTGTACTGTGACAGCCAGGGTGCCATTGCTCTTGCTAAGAACCCTGTGTTGCATGGACTCACGAAGCACATGAGGGTGAAGTGGCATTGGACGAGGAGCATGGTAACCGCGGGTGAAGTTGAGTTGCGCTACGTGAAGAACACGGGGCAGCCGCCTGACATGATGACCAAGAGGCTGGTGGAGCAGCAGCATTGGAAGTGTTGCAAGCTGGCTGGGATGGCTCTGAACTGAGAGAGCAACTCTACGAGGGCAACAATCCGAGGGGGAGTTTGTTGGTGCAACCCTACGGTTTGCACTCGGCTTGTTGTCCGTGTGCGTGAATGTGTGTGTGTATGGAATGGTATGAGGGCATGGGATAATATATATTTCATGCTTATAATTGTGTGTGAATGTTGAGTCATGATTTCGAGTGTGTGTGTCGAGTCAATAGCGAGTTATCGCTAGACGCGTGTTACGCGGTCGTTTGTGTCTCGCGCGCGGTTTCTATTTTGTCGTGCGCGGTTTCTATTTTGTCATGTGTCGAACGTTCGGCGTGTCGCAGGTGTGTGCAGCAGACCCATCAAGAACTCAAGGATGAGTTTGTGATGAAGAGCCCGGGCCTTGGTGTCAAGCCTCAAGTGATTTCGAAGCTTGCCAAAAGGGTACACCTCAAGATATTGAAGATAGTTACATTACTTTGTGTAGTGTAACATTTCACTTGGTGTAGGCCCTAGTGAAGGGTAGTTTCGAGACCCTTCGTGGTTGGGGACAGTGTGGCACTGTTCCACATCACTGTACCTCGGCTCTTGGGGTTTGTAGGAGCTGGGAGTCATTCCCAACTCGTAACTCTTCCTATCTTGTGTTCTAAGACTATAGTGGCTGCCATAGTACCGTTCGTTCAAACCGACGCTGTGTCGTCAATTCTTTATCAAATCGTGCAATCTAAATTGCTAATTGTAGACGACGTGAAGACGCTCCAGATCCAATTTGAATCAAGTCATTTGCAGCTGTGAGCAGAACGCTATCAACGTTTGAAGCCGCTGTGCAGAAATCCGTCTGTGCTCTCTATCTTTCGTTTTAGGCACATTCAAGCCTATTGTGACTATAACATTACTGACCCTCTGAAGCGCCACTAACTGACCCTCTGAAGCGCCACTTACTGACCCTCTGAAGCGCCACTGACTGACCCTCTGAAGCGCCACTTACTGACCCTCTGAAGCGCCACTTACTGACCCTCTGAAGCGCCACTGACTGACCCTCTGAAGCGCCACTTACTGACCCTCTGAAGCGCCACTGACTGACCCTCTGAAGCGCCACTTACTGACCCTCTGAAGCGCCACTGACTGACCCTCTGAAGCGCCACTTACTGACCCTCTGAAGCGCCACTGACTGACCCTCTGAAGCGCCACTTACTGACCCTCTGAAGCGCCACTGACTGACCCTCTGAAGCGCCACTTACTGACCCTCTGAAGCGCCACTGACTGACCCTCTGAAGCGCCACTTACTGACCCTCTGAAGCGCCACTGACTGACCCTCTGAAGCGCCACTTACTGACCCTCTGAAGCGCCACTGACTGACCCTCTGAAGCGCCACTTACTGACCCTCTGAAGCGCCACTTACAGACCCTCTGAAGCGCCACTGACTGACCCTCTGAAGCGCCACTTACTGACCCTCTGAAGCGCCACTGACTGACCCTCTGAAGCGCCACTGACTGACCCTCTGAAGCGCCACTTACTGACCCTCTGAAGCGCCACTTACTGACCCTCTGAAGCGCCACTGACTGACCCTCTGAAGCGCCACTGACTGACCCTCTGAAGCGCCACTGACTGACCCTCTGAAGCGCCACTGACTGACCCTCTGAAGCGCCACTTACTGACCCTCTGAAGCGCCACTTACTGACCCTCTGAAGCGCCACTGACTGACCCTCTGAAGCGCCACTTACTGACCCTCTGAAGCGCCACTTACTGACCCTCTGAAGCGCCACTGACTGACCCTCTGAAGCGCCACTTACTGACCCTCTGAAGCGCCACTGACTGACCCTCTGAAGCGCCACTTACTGACCCTCTGAAGCGCCACTGACTGACCCTCTGAAGCGCCACTTACTGACCCTCTGAAGCGCCACTGACTGACCCTCTGAAGCGCCACTTACTGACCCTCTGAAGCGCCACTGACTGACCCTCTGAAGCGCCACTTACTGACCCTCTGAAGCGCCACTGACTGACCCTCTGAAGCGCCACTTACTGACCCTCTGAAGCGCCACTGACTGACCCTCTGAAGCGCCACTTACTGACCCTCTGAAGCGCCACTTACAGACCCTCTGAAGCGCCACTGACTGACCCTCTGAAGCGCCACTTACTGACCCTCTGAAGCGCCACTGACTGACCCTCTGAAGCGCTACTGACTGACCCTCTGAAGCGCCACTTACTGACCCTCTGAAGCACCACTTACTGACCCTCTGAAGCGCCACTGACTGACCCTCTGAAGCGCCACTGACTGACCCTCTGAAGCGCCACTGACTGACCCTCTGAAGCGCCACTGACTGACCCTCTGAAGCGCCACTTACTGACCCTCTGAAGCGCCACTTACTGACCCTCTGAAGCGCCACTGACTGACCCTCTGAAGCGCCACTTACTGACCCTCTGAAGCGCCACTGACTGACCCTCTGAAGCGCCACTTACTGACCCTCTGAAGCGCCACTGACTGACCCTCTGAAGCGCCACTTACTGACCCTCTGAAGCGCCACTTACTGACCCTCTGAAGCGCCACTTACTGACCCTCTGAAGCGCCACTGACTGACCCTCTGAAGCGCCACTTACTGACCCTCTGAAGCGCCACTTACTGACCCTCTGAAGCGCCACTTACTGACCCTCTGAAGCGCCACTGACTGACCCTCTGAAGCGCCACTTACTGACCCTCTGAAGCGCCACTGACTGACCCTCTGAAGCGCCACTTACTGACCGTTGAAGCGCCACTTACTGAGCCTCTGAAGCGCCACTGACTGACCCTCTGAAGCGCCACTTACTGACCCTCTGAAGCGCCACTGACTGACCCTCTGAAGCGCCATTTACTGACCCTCTGAAGCGCCACTTACTGACCCTCTGAAGCGCCACTTACTGACCCTCTGAAGCGCCACTGACTGACCCTCTGAAGCTGTTAGGGTGGTTCGCCACTGCCCTAGTGCCTACCGACCTACGCGCTTCACCTAGGGACGGTAGCACGACACTAGGAACGGTGGGAAATGTCGACCTAATGAGGAGAACCGACAGCTATAACGGTGGGGCTGCGTGCTAAGGAGCTAAGGAGGGAAGGCGAGAAGAAAGCAGGTAAAAACGGAATGGTGGGAGAGTGGGTTTCAGGAAATGTCGAGAAGACATTTCCGTAACCTAAAATGTCCAACCGCAACCGAACCGTGTTCGGTGCGGATGAGACAACCAGGTTTCGGTTCCGGTGTCGGTTACCGAAATCGGTTCCGCGTGCGACTCGGGCTGAATCGCGGATGACGCGTTACGCGAGGCGCACATCACATTTCGAAATGCTTAAATGTGTTTGTTTTCAATCAGTTCTTTGTACTTCTCTGTTTTGAGTGAAATCAGTCCTGAAAAACCAGAAATCTCTCCAAGCACTTACTATCTTCAACGCTAGCCGGAGGCTATACCTAAACTAAGAGCTGGTATCAGAGCTTGGTTCTCGTCGCGTCGAGCCTCATTATAATAGCGTTGGAGGCGTTCTTAATTTTTAGAGTATTGAAACGGGCGATTATTCAACGACACGGGGAAAGGAGATGGAGAGGCCAGTTCGGGGTCCTCTGTTAACACTGACGGTGTGCAGCTGCAGAGTCTGCTCGATGCCCTTGCCAAGGGGCAAATCATGGCCAAACCGACGATTGGCCTAAGTGAAGCTCAACGCTTCAATGGTGAGAACTTCGGCACATGGCGGCTGAAGTTCATGAGGCGCGCTCGGGAGGTAGATTTGTGGCACTTCTACAACCCAGAGGCAGCGACGGAGGACGATGGACCTGCACCTGCAACTGCACAAGAGAAGAAAGCGTTTAAGAAAAGAAGCCAACAAGCTTTCTTTCAACTCTGCCACTCGGTCTCGGATGCGATCGCAGCACGACTCGACCAGTTTTCCGAGGAGGACAACGCAGCAGAGAAGGCGTGGGCCTACATGGAGCGAGTGTACCTCGGGAAAAGCGAAACAAAAATGACAGCGGTGAGGACGAAACTCATACTGCTGGCCATGGAACCTACCGAGACGGTGGTGGACTACGTGGGACGTGCTAAAGGCTACAACGACGACTTGACAGCTATGGGAGTGCCCGAATCAGAGAAGCAAATGATGAGCTACATCATTGGCGGCCTACCGAAAACATGGGCAGCAGAGAAGAGGATGCTGGCCTGCCGACGCCCGACGGACATGACGGACTTAGTGGAGTCCCTTCAAGACGTGGCACTTGTACGTGCGGAGGAAGAACGAAGGGAGGCGCTGCTGGACAATTTCAGCAACGATAAACCTGCCATGGTGAACGCAACCGGGGCAGGAAAAGCATTCGGAACTTGCTTCCACTGTGGGAAGAAAGGGCACAAGGCTGCCGAGTGTTACTCCAACCCAAGAAGCAATAATTTCAGAGGGACGGCAGCAGTTAGGGAATCTGCCAACGAGGGAACAAGCGGAGGAGGACAACGGCCGAGAGGTGGATTTCCTGGAAATTGCAACCACTGTGGGAAGCGTGGGCACAAAGCAATTGACTGCTACAGCAACCCGGCCAGCAAGAGCTTCAGGGGAGGGCAGCAGCAGCAAAACAAACACATAACTGCGAAGATCAACGCCACCGAAGCAGAAACCAGCGACGACGACGTCATCCTCGGGGGAGCCCACAAGGCCAATGTTGCAAGAGCATCCGGAGCATGCCTGCTTGCAAAGGGCCTCAAAGGCAAGGAGTGGTACATGGACAGCGGATGTACCCAACACATGACGAACCGGAAGGAGTGGCTACAAAATTTCAGAGCATCACCGATCCCGTACGTGCTGTTGGGAGATGAAGGGAAACTTCCTGTGAAAGGGGAAGGTGACCTAGTGCTGCAAAGTGTTTATGGGGAGGTGAAGCTTGACAACGTGCTGCTGGTGGACAAGCTCACACTCAACCTCATTAGCCAATCGCAGCTGGACAGCGGTGGATGCAAGACTTTCAGTGATAAGGGCAGCATATGGGTCTTCGGTTCGGATTGGAAAGCGATAGCGGAGGGATCACGCAAGCAAGGGCTGTACGAGATGAAGCTGCACGAGAAACAGAATGAGGAAAAGGTCACGTACCTGGCTGAACCGGAAGCGGGCAAGGTGGCTCGAGATGAGCTCCGCACCATGCTGGAAAAGGTGCCGATCAAGGAGCTGCAGCAGCAGGCGCTTCCTATGGCAGCAGCAGTGAGCACGGTGGACGTCAACCTGCTGCATAGGAGGATGGGGCACGCTGGTCATTATCGAATCAAGGAGCTGATCAAGAAGAACATGGCAGCGGGAGTGAAGGTAGCTGAAGGTGGAGAGGAAAATCTGAAGTGCAGCACATGCGTGGAAGCAAAGGCAACAAAGGCGCCACATCCCAAGCATGGAGCTCGTGAGCCGTACGAGACACTGGCTATTGTGGCAGCCGACGTCTGTGGACCGATGCGGGTGGCTTCACGACATGGCAGCAAGTATTTTGTTACCTTCACCGACCTTGGCACGCGTCACACGTGGGTGACTGAAATTAAGAAAAAGTCTGATGTCTACTCGAGCTTTCTTGATTGGCAGGCGGAAGCGGAAAGGCAAAGCGGCAAGAAGCTGAAGGTGTTGCGCACGGACAATGGGGGAGAATTCGTCAACACCGAGTTCAACACGTACCTGAAATCAAAAGGGATTCGGAGGCAGCTCACCATCCCGTACACTCCCCAACACAATAGCATTGCGGAGCGGGTGAACCGATCACTGCTGGAGGGTGTGAGGAGCTTGCTCGCGGATAGCAACCTGCCTCTTCACTACTGGGGAGATGCGCTAGGCATGGCATGTTGGCTGAAAAACCGTTTACCGACAAAGGGACTAGCGGCGGATATTACCCCTCACGAAGCGTTCTACAAGAGGAAGCCGAATCTGGAGTTCTTACGTGTTTGGGGCTGCATGGTGCAGTACCGTGAGGCGACGGGACCCGACCATAAGCTTCTCCCAAGGACCAAGTGGGGGATTCACTTGGGAATCTGCCCGGAGAGCAAAGGGTGGGTGATACGTGATGTGGAGACCGGAAAAGTCACGGCGACCAGAGATGTTACCTTCTACGAGCAAGACACCTACTTGGAGTGGAAGGGACGGAAACAAGGAGCTGTTGCAAAGGAAGCGGCAGCAGCACCAACTCCACTGGAGGAGATGATAGATGGGAGTGAGAAGGAGGGGATAGGGGCAGCCAATGGAAGCGGTGACAATGACGACTACGAAGACCACACTACGCCGGGTTTCGATTGGGTGTGGGAGGTCCAGGAGCTGTCCTCACCTTCAACTGCTATGGAAGAGGGTGAAGAAGAAAAGGATAAGGGAGAAGAGGCGGGTGACAACTCAACGGATGAAGCCGGTGAGGAAGAAGCTGAAATTTCTGATATGGAAGAGAGTGCGGCTGAATCTGCTAGCACGGACTACACCGACCCATGGCGAATCATTGACACGGGGAACAATGAAAAGGCGGTAGCAGAGATTGAAGACCTACTTGCGGACGGTGCGATCATTCTCGGAAGGGATATTGATGGAACTACCGTGCCACGAGGAGCGGAGGATAGTGCAGCAGCAGAAAAAGGTGGAGCTGAAAATGAGAATGAGGAGATGGGCAAAGAGAAACGGGTTAAGAAACCCAATCCCAAGTATGCCCAAATGCTTCTGACCTGCTGCAAAGACATTCACACTCACCTCCTCCTCACCACCACGGCAACGGCATTACTCTCAAAGGGGAAGGTGGAAAGCTACAAGCTGCCCACCGAGCCTCTCACCATTGAAGAGGCGCTGTCCGGGCCCAACAAAGAGGAATGGAGGGCTGCAATTCAGGAGGAACTTGATACCTTGGCTGAAAGGGGGACATGGGAGCTTGTGAACATGCCCGAGGGGAGGAAAGCAGTGGGAGTGCGCTGGATTTTCAAGATCAAAACGGGAGACATGGGACAACTTGAGCGTTTCAAAGCACGTCTTGTGGCTAAAGGCTACACTCAGGTGGAAGGAGAGGACTACGACCAACTCTACGCACCCGTTAGCAAGCTAACAACGGCAAGGACCATGCTAAAGGTGGTAACGGCACGTGGGTACTTCATGGTGCAGCTGGACATCAAAAATGCCTTTCTCTATGGCATTTTGAAGGAGACTATCTACATGAATCAGCCACCGGGGTGTGTGGACGGCACGGACAGAAAGTGCAAACTCATCAAAGCACTTTATGGGTTGAAACAAAGCCCACGGGAATGGTACCTAGCTATGGATGCGCAGCTGGAAAAAGGGGGGTTCATCAAGAGCCAATGTGACCGTGCATTCTACTGGAAGGGAGAGGGGGAGAGCAAGGTGTTCCTACTCCTCTACGTGGATGATATCCTAGTGGCTGGAGCAAAGGAGGAGAAGGTAGAGGAGGTGTGCACTCACCTCGCAGCCGTATTTCAGGTGAAGAAGATTCCAAGGACCACTCTCTTCCTTGGAATGAACATCGAGAGGAATAGGGAGGAGAAGAAGTTGCTGCTATACCAGAAGAAGTACTTCCAGAGGTTGCGGGAGAGGTTTGGAGGGCAATGCAAGACCAAACCAGTAACTACTCCTCTCAGCAGCCTTGCTGATAAGGAGGTCGATGTGGGAGCAGAAATTGAGGCATGGGGCAGCAAGGAGAGAGCGCTCAAAGCTTACCAATCCATGGTAGGCTCAGTCATGTACCCGGTGTCATGCACACGGGTTGATGTGGCCTACGCTGCAAGCTTTCTTGGGCAGAGGGTGTTGCAGCCCGAGGGACGCAAGTGGAAGGAGATGGAGCGGAATATCACTTACCTTCTGCAGCGGGATGATGAGGGGCTGTTGTTTGAAGGAGGAGAGGAGAGTCTGGAGCTAGTGGGGTACGCTGACGCCTCACATGGATCAGACAAGACGGACGGGAGGGGAGCCTATGGCTATGTCTACCTCCTTGGAGGAACGGCAATCATGTGGCAAGCCAAGAAGCTCACCGACGTCGCTCTGTCCACCACGGAGTCTGAATACATGGCGCTGTTTTATGCATGCCAAGAGGGTGTGTGGCTGAGGCGCCTACTTCAAGAGATGGGGGTCAAAGTGGAAGGACCTACAACGATCAAATCGGACAGCCAATCAGCAATTGACCTCGCACGAAATGACAACTGGCATGGGCGCACCAAACACATGAATGTGAGGTACCATTGGGTACGGGAGCAGCTACAAAAGAAGGCATTCACCTTCGTGCACGTGGGAACACAGGAGCAGCCAGCGGATTTCCTCACCAAGGTGCTACCAAAGGCAAACTTCGAGTTTTGCAAGTATTATGTCGGCATACGTACCTTGCAGGACTTGCGGGGGAGCAGCGGAGCAGCAACCCGAGATGCTACACCATCGTACGGACAAGCTCAGCAAGAGAAGAAGAAGGCTGGTTACATGGTAACCACGGGAGCATAGGAGAGTGGCAGCTGGCAAACCACGGGGGAGATTGTTAGGGTGGTTCGCCACTGCCCTAGTGCCTACCGACCTACGCGCTTCACCTAGGGACGGTAGCACGACACTAGGAACGGTGGGAAATGTCGACCTAATGAGGAGAACCGACAGCTATAACGGTGGGGCTGCATGCTAAGGAGCTAAGGAGGGAAGGCGAGAATAAAGCAGGTAAAAACGGAATGGTGGGAGAGTGGGTTTCAGGAAATGTCGAGAAGACATTTCCGTAACCTAAAATGTCCAACCGCAACCGAACCGTGTTCGGTGCGGATGAGACAACCAGGTTTCGGTTCCGGTGTCGGTTACCGAAATCGGTTCCGCGTGCGACTCGGGCTGAATCGCGGATGACGCGTTACGCGAGGCGCACATCACATTTCGAAATGCTTAAATGTGTTTGTTTTCAATCAGTTCTTTGTACTTCTCTGTTTTGAGTGAAATCAGTCCTGAAAAACCAGAAATCTCTCCAAGCACTTACTATCTTCAACGCTAGCCGGAGGCTATACCTAAACTAAGAGAAGCGCCACTTACTGACCCTCTGAAGCGCCACTTACTGACCCTCTGAAGCGCCACTTACTGACCCTCTGAAGCGCCACTGACTGACCCTCTGAAGCGCCACTTACTGACCCTCTGAAGCGCCACTTACTGACCCTCTGAAGCGCCACTTACTGACCCTCTGAAGCGCCACTTACTGACCCTCTGAAGCGCCACTTACTGACCCTCTGAAGCGCCACTTACTGACCCTCTGAAGCGCCACTTACTGACCCTCTGAAGCGCCACTTACTGACCCTCTGAAGCGCCACTTACTGACCCTCTGAAGCGCCACTTACTGACCCTCTGAAGCGCCACTTACTGACCCTCTGAAGCGCCACTTACTGACCCTCTGAAGCGCCACTTACTGACCCTCTGAAGCGCCACTTACTGACCCTCTGAAGCGCCACTTACTGACCCTCTGAAGCGCCACTTACTGACCCTCTGAAGCGCCACTTACTGACCCTCTGAAGCGCCACTTACTGACCCTCTGAAGCGCCACTTACTGACCCTCTGAAGCGCCACTTACTGACCCTCTGAAGCGCCACTTACTGACCCTCTGAAGCGCCACTTACTGACCCTCTGAAGCGCCACTTACTGACCCTCTGAAGCGCCACTTACTGACCCTCTGAAGCGCCACTTACTGACCCTCTGAAGCGCCACTTACTGACCCTCTGAAGCGCCACTTACTGACCCTCTGAAGCGCCACTTACTGACCCTCTGAAGCGCCACTTACTGACCCTCTGAAGCGCCACTTACTGACCCTCTGAAGCGCCACTGACTGACCCTCTGAAGCGCCACTTACTGACCCTCTGAAGCGCCACTTACTGACCCTCTGAAGCGCCACTGACTGACCCTCTGAAGCGCCACTTACTGACCCTCTGAAGCGCCACTTACTGACCCTCTGAAGCGCCACTTACTGACCCTCTGAAGCGCCACTTACTGACCCTCTGAAGCGCCACTTACTGACCCTCTGAAGCGCCACTTACTGACCCTCTGAAGCGCCACTTACTGACCCTCTGAAGCGCCACTTACTGACCCTCTGAAGCGCCACTTACTGACCCTCTGAAGCGCCACTTACTGACCCTCTGAAGCGCCACTGACTGACCCTCTGAAGCGCCACTGACTGACCCTCTGAAGCGCCACTTACTGACCCTCTGAAGCGCCACTTACTGACCCTCTGAAGCGCCACTTACTGACCCTCTGAAGCGCCACTTACTGACCCTCTGAAGCGCCACTTACTGACCCTCTGAAGCGCCACTTACTGACCCTCTGGAGCGCCACTTACTGACCCTCTGAAGCGCCACTTACTGACCCTCTGAAGCGCCACTTACTGACCCTCTGAAGCGCCACTTACTGACCCTCTGAAGCGCCACTGACTGACCCTCTGAAGCGCCACTTACTGACCCTCTGAAGCGCCACTGACTGACCCTCTGAAGCGCCACTTACTGACCCTCTGAAGCGCCACTTACTGACCCTCTGAAGCGCCACTGACTGACCCTCTGAAGCGCCACTTACTGACCCTCTGAAGCGCCACTGACTGACCCTCTGAAGCGCCACTGACTGACCCTCTGAAGCGCCACTTACTGACCCTCTGAAGCGCCACTGACTGACCCTCTGAAGCGCCACTTACTGACCCTCTGAAGCGCCACTTACTGACCCTCTGAAGCGCCACTGACTGACCCTCTGAAGCGCCACTTACTGACCCTCTGAAGCGCCACTTACTGACCCTCTGAAGCGCCACTGACTGACCCTCTGAAGCGCCACTTACTGACCCTCTGAAGCGCCACTGACTGACCCTCTGAAGCGCCACTGACTGACCCTCTGAAGCGCCACTTACTGACCCTCTGAAGCGCCACTGACTGACCCTCTGAAGCGCCACTTACTGACCCTCTGAAGCGCCACTGACTGACCCTCTGAAGCGCCACTTACTGACCCTCTGAAGCGCCACTGACTGACCCTCTGAAGCGCCACTTACTGACCCTCTGAAGCGCCACTGACTGACCCTCTGAAGCGCCACTGACTGACCCTCTGAAGCGCCACTTACTGACCCTCTGAAGCGCCACTGACTGACCCTCTGAAGCGCCACTGACTGACCCTCTGAAGCGCCACTGACTGACCCTCTGAAGCGCCACTTACTGACCCTCTGAAGCGCCACTGACTGACCCTCTGAAGCGCCACTTACTGACCCTCTGAAGCGCCACTGACTGACCCTCTGAAGCGCCACTTACTGACCCTCTGAAGCGCCACTGACTGACCCTCTGAAGCGCCACTGACTGACCCTCTGAAGCGCCACTTACTGAACCTCTGAAGCGCCACTGACTGACCCTCTGAAGCGCCACTTACTGACCCTCTGAAGCGCCACTGACTGACCCTCTGAAGCGCCACTTACTGACCCTCTGAAGCGCCACTGACTGACCCTCTGAAGCGCCACTTACTGACCCTCTGAAGCGCCACTGACTGACCCTCTGAAGCGCCACTTACTGACCCTCTGAAGCGCCACTGACTGACCCTCTGAAGCGCCACTTACTGACCCTCTGAAGCGCCACTGACTGACCCTCTGAAGCGCCACTTACTGACCCTCTGAAGCGCCACTGACTGACCCTCTGAAGCGCCACTTACTGACCCTCTGAAGCGCCACTTACTGACCCTCTGAAGCGCCACTTACTGACCCTCTGAAGCGCCACTTACTGACCCTCTGAAGCGCCACTTACTGACCCTCTGAAGCGCCACTGACTGACCCTCTGAAGCGCCACTTACTGACCCTCTGAAGCGCCACTTACTGACCCTCTGAAGCGCCACTGACTGACCCTCTGAAGCGCCACTTACTGACCCTCTGAAGCGCCACTGACTGACCCTCTGAAGCGCCACTTACTGACCCTCTGAAGCGCCACTGACTGACCCTCTGAAGCGCCACTGACTGACCCTCTGAAGCGCCACTTACTGACCCTCTGAAGCGCCACTTACTGACCCTCTGAAGCGCCACTTACTGACCCTCTGAAGCGCCACTGACTGACCCTCTGAAGCGCCACTTACTGACCCTCTGAAGCGCCACTGACTGACCCTCTGAAGCGCCACTTACTGACCCTCTGAAGCGCCACTTACTGACCCTCTGAAGCGCCACTTACTGACCCTCTGAAGCGCCACTTACTGACCCTCTGAAGCGCCACTTACTGACCCTCTGAAGCGCCACTTACTGACCCTCTGAAGCGCCACTTACTGACCCTCTGAAGCGCCACTTACTGACCCTCTGAAGCGCCACTGACTGACCCTCTGAAGCGCCACTTACTGACCCTCTGAAGCGCCACTTACTGACCCTCTGAAGCGCCACTGACTGACCCTCTGAAGCGCCACTTACTGACCCTCTGAAGCGCCACTGACTGACCCTCTGAAGCGCCACTTACTGACCCTCTGAAGCGCCACTGACTGACCCTCTGAAGCGCCACTGACTGACCCTCTGAAGCGCCACTTACTGACCCTCTGAAGCGCCACTTACTGACCCTCTGAAGCGCCACTTACTGACCCTCTGAAGCGCCACTGACTGACCCTCTGAAGCGCCACTGACTGACCCTCTGAAGCGCCACTGACTGACCCTCTGAAGCGCCACTTACTGACCCTCTGAAGCGCCACTGACTGACCCTCTGAAGCGCCACTTACTGACCCTCTGAAGCGCCACTGACTGACCCTCTGAAGCGCCACTTACTGACCCTCTGAAGCGCCACTGACTGACCCTCTGAAGCGCCACTGACTGACCCTCTGAAGCGCCACTTACTGACCCTCTGAAGCGCCACTGACTGACCCTCTGAAGCGCCACTTACTGACCCTCTGAAGCGCCACTGACTGACCCTCTGAAGCGCCACTTACTGACCCTCTGAAGCGCCACTGACTGACCCTCTGAAGCGCCACTTACTGACCCTCTGAAGCGCCACTGACTGACCCTCTGAAGCGCCACTTACTGACCCTCTGAAGCGCCACTGACTGACCCTCTGAAGCGCCACTTACTGACCCTCTGAAGCGCCACTGACTGACCCTCTGAAGCGCCACTTACTGACCCTCTGAAGCGCCACTTACTGACCCTCTGAAGCGCCACTTACTGACCCTCTGAAGCGCCACTTACTGACCCTCTGAAGCGCCACTTACTGACCCTCTGAAGCGCCACTTACTGACCCTCTGAAGCGCCACTTACTGACCCTCTGAAGCGCCACTTACTGACCCTCTGAAGCGCCACTTACTGACCCTCTGAAGCGCCACTGACTGACCCTCTGAAGCGCCACTTACTGACCCTCTGAAGCGCCACTGACTGACCCTCTGAAGCGCCACTTACTGACCCTCTGAAGCGCCACTGACTGACCCTCTGAAGCGCCACTGACTGACCCTCTGAAGCGCCACTTACTGACCCTCTGAAGCGCCACTGACTGACCCTCTGAAGCGCCACTTAC